CAGAACGAATGAATCTAGTGAGCCGGTTCTTTTTAGTCAATCAAAAAACATACAGACCAGGACCAGACTTTCTTCTTTACTATTCTCATTTCTTAGTTAGTAAGCAGCTTTATTTATTTATGTAAGCAATTACGAAATAACGCCTTCAGGGTGATACATTATTGGTCTTTTTTTGAGATAATGGTTGACCAACAGTCCCAGTGTTTTCCCTTGCTTCTTTTACTCATACATAATACCCAACAGATCGACTGATTCATAGTAATAAACAGGCCTAAGGGCTGTTTTTTTCTCAGTAACTGGGAGTGTGTGTCGTCTTCTCAGAAAATGTCATCATTCCTTGTGCTAACATAGTCACTATTTAATGAACCAAAGATAGATGGCACTAAACTTAGTCATCGCAATAAAGACGATCCATAGGGAGGAACATTAGCACTCAGCCAAAGATGTACCACACACGGTCTCAATCACAAAGGTTATTCTGTGAAGTAAATAATCAATTACCCTTGATTGACGATACTTGTGACATTTTAGTAATGTTTTGTATTTCTTCACCAAATAGTGCAATAACTGTACATGTTCATTGTAGCTACAATGAGTCATGCATCTTACCTTAAAGGTATAATTCACTTGAAAATGATTATATTTTCATCATTTCCAAACATGTATGACTCTTCTTTTTCTGTGAGGAATGCCTTCATTTTTTTTGTCCATACGATGAAAGTAAATGGGGTCCAGATTAGTTCACCCCACCCCCCACCCCCCACTGTATGGCAACCCTCTACATTGCGAGTAAATCACTCGCATATGCGACTAAATCTTCACTCTGGGCGACTAAATGATGTCTAATATTAGCCAATTGCTAATAAATTCTCAGATTTTACTCGCCAGTGTGTGAGTTGGAGGCTAAGTATAAGTTTAACTTAAGCGCATCAGAGTTTCACGCTCCGCCAAGCGATCTGTGCTGTTTTTCAGGATGTGCAACGCACCTTTAACGGCAAACATATATATATATCAGTCTGGCGAGTAAACTATAAAATTTACTAGCCAATGGCGATTCAATTGCCAAGGTGTTTGTAGAGGGTTGTATGGACAAAAAATGTTAAATTCGGCCAGCATGTTTAAAGTGCATTAGTGTGCAGGTTAGGTTTTGGTGTTGAGGTAAGGTTGGGGATGGTTATAGAAGATTTTGGCCTCAGGGTTGGGAGGTAGAGGTGTGAGAAAGGCCTGTCCTTATATGCAGTTTAACCTGATCTGGGCCATTATTGCAGGGTTTTTTAGCTAGAGAAATTAGATGGATCAGGGGGTTGGTGGGTGGGCTGGACAAGAGGAGGGGAAGGAGAGAATACAGTCCTGAGGTGGAACTGATATGAATCCGTTCTTTGTTTCATATCAGTGTTGGGCTGCTGTGGGGCTAGTGTTGTTTGGGGCCTGAGGTGACAGGATTTTGGTGTCTAAGAGAGGAATTTCTGCCCCGCACAAGGGGTTTTCCATCACACAGGTCGGGGCAAATAAAAAAAGAATAAAAGAGAATAAGGGTGAGAATGAATCTAACAGTAGCAGAAGGAGTTAATGACATGGACGTGTGTGCTGTTGAATGTATTTGGTAAGATTTTTATTTCTTTCTTTCATCCTGATATTGCCTCGAAGCAAATTGTGCATGCTGTGAGAGAAATGTGTGTGTATGTGTGTAATCTGGCTGCTTTGAAAGTTCAAGGGCGATGAAGTCATGCTTTAGTTACCTTGAGAAGAATTCCAGTGTTTGGTATTTGCGAAGGCCATGAATGATGATAAACCCGGCTATGCTTGACAGATTTCTACATTTTCCTGATCATTTATTTTTGTAAAATAAAATATTTGACATATGTTTTATTAAAATGAATAATGTGTGTGTGTGTGTTTATATATATATATATATATACACACACACACACACACAGACAGACATGTATCTAAGATTTAAAATATAAGTAATATGAATCATATAGTTGATTTGAAGTCCGTCCTTTCCAGAACTTTCCAGTAATTTCATAGCACTCCATTAGAGAGGATCAGACAGAGCTTGCTTTATTGTGTCTCTCAGGTCATCAGCAGCCCACATTCCTCTCTCTTTTGACCTGATAAGTGTCTTTCTGTATCCAGTGTCTATCGGATAACTCAGCACTCCTCTCCCGGGAGCTGCATAAAGCCTGAGTGTGAACAGCCTCGGCAGATTGTGTGTCCGCACCTGAATCTGATACCATTGGGTGAGAAAGTGTGGGATCTTGCAGTTCAGTGAAGACAGCCTCTTGCTTTTGCAATGCATTGTTGTCCATATGAAGTATATCTTGACAATTATGTATTTGTTCTAAAATGAACTAAAATGATGATTTAATTCAGTCAGAAGAACCATGATATCAGTGGATTCAAAATGCTGAGTGCAGGAGGTAAAGTACAGTCAAATCTATTTAAAATAATCATGGCATGTTTTTACTACACTGCTAAAGTAACAAGGAAAATTATATATAAATTTATAAAAATTTTATAAAAAAATAGAAAGAAAACATTTGTCTATATTTTACTATAACATTTTACTACATGTAAGATGCTTGCAGAGGACAAAACATTAAATTCTGAATTGATTAATTAAAATGGACTATTTGAACTGATTCATGGAAATGAATCGTTGTGATATTCATGCTGATCATCAGCAAATATCTGTCAACAAGTCACTTTTGAGTAATTAATTTACAATTTTTTATTTCTATACCATATGAATCTTTTAACCATTCAACTTAATAACATTTTAACTTAACATTTTACTACATTTCTCTAATATTCTAATAATCCAGATGCTTTTTATTAAACAACATGAGAACAAAATGTCAAACTGCTGTGTGTCTTTTTATCATATGATCGGGATCAAGTGCTGAGGTCAGGGGTCACGCTAACGGGTGCTAGAATAAGATTTATGCACCCACAGTCATGTGATCTCAGTTAAGAGAAGAATTATACTGGGACCTTCCCTACAATCAAGACCAGGATTCATCAGGAAGGAGTCCAAGACAAAGTCCGAGATATTCAGTCGACTGCTAAATAGCTTGTCAAAGTGGAATGTTAAATTGTGGGATTAGAGCTCCACTGTCGCCTCGGTCTCATCTCCCTTTCAGTCAAACCATGTTGAATATCATCTGAGGTTTTTGGTTGGACGTCCACTGTTGCTTGTGGTTCTGATGTCACTCTGGAGAAATGCTCTCCTTGGCTTTAAGCTCAGACACTTGGGCTGTTGTTAAGGGTGTTTCTAAGACTCTCAAGACTTGATAAAAGCTTAACTGAAAGGGCTTGATTCCTCAGTATATCAAGTTACTAACATTGGCTCAATGTTCACAAAGCCTGTTTTGTATGGTAATAATGTCCTTCAGAGCCATTAAAGCTTATCTGCGGGGGCGGAGGGGGTTGCGGTATTGAATAGGTCTGGGATTGTGGTGTGTGAGAGGAGCAGTGGTGGTGTCAAAGGATCCTTAACCTGGTATGCAATGCTAAAACCATTTCAGATCAGGTAGTTATAGCATGTTTATGAAAAACTTGCATTTCGGTGATCAGTAGACATAATGGAATGGTTTGAAGATGTAAAAGTGCTGGCTGAATGACCCAGTGCCTTTGCTTAGCGTGATTCATGTCACGGTAAAGGCACGCCAGGTTTAAAGCAAACACACGTGGCTTTCATTTGACACATAATTTAAGGCACGTCAAACATGCTGCTAAATTCTATACGGTAGCTCCGCTTATAACTTCCAGCTTCCCCTGTGTCTCTGAACCATGATACCACTGGCATGATAACACTTTTAATGCTTTGTGAGTGACACATCTCCTTGAATTGTCAGTTTTCATTATGTCAAATTCTCCCCTTGGTAACAAGGGTCTGAAATTAACTCGAGTAACACAATCCTTCATGCTGACCTTAGTTTGCATTGTAAGTAGTGCTGCCTTATTTATGATTGTGCATTTAGAGGGTTTTGTATGGAAGCCAATTTTTGCCACAGGAAAAAAAATCATGCTTTGGTAAATCATGCTTTTGTAATTGACAAGTCATAATTATGAGATCAAACATTTAAATTGACATAAAGTCAAAATATGAAATTATAAAACTATAAAAGTAAAAACTATAATATAAAAAGTAAAAATTAACAATTGTGAGATAAAAATCCAAAATTATGACAAAAAGTTTTTTTACTTTTTGCGTATGACTTACCATGTCATCATTTTGACTTTTTATGTCATAATTATGATTTACCGAAGCATGATTTTTTTCTTACAGTAATTTTCCAATAACTGATTGTCTATTTTGTATTTTCACACAAATTGCTTATAGTATTTGACATTTAGAATGTAAATAAATTTTGCCACTCTAATGTTTAGAAATGAGCAAATATCAAGCACTAGATTAGTTTTTGTTTCAGATTTTTTAGCTGAATATTTAACTGGATGGATTTTAACCTGAATCCATGTGTCTCATTGGATTTATTAGTTTTCTAATAAACAAATGGAGTTAAATTACTTGTAAACTTCAATTCAGACTCCTAGACTTTGTCAACAACCATCATTGTTTAAAACTCTATTCCCACTGGAATGTTCCAGAATAAGCATAATTGACCTGCTGAAGAAAACAAACCCTGATATTAGTCATAAAAAATTCATTCAAAAATGCATGAACGAAAAGCAGCCACAGAGTAATGCTCTCAATGCCAGTTGTCCACTTGAAGCGGTAAAAATCTGACTCATTAACGTTGCTTTTCATGAACAAATGCTGCTAATTAGAGGTGGCAACTGCAGTGAGGAGGCCTGGTCGAATCAGCTCTGAGTGAACAAGCTAATGACAGATAGAGGGGAAGGCGGGCCGCCGGGCAGGGTGACCTTAGTGTGTCCGGCGGGTCAGGAACGGGGAGAACAACATCTGCAGGAATGTGTTTTATAGTGTCCATCACAAAAACAGATCATGCAAACCTTTTGTCTTTTCCTTTCAGATCAAGTATGCTGAAGACACAATGGATCCCCTAGTTCATCTGAGCCCGCTGAGAGTCCGAATCTCTGCTCTCCCGCACCCCACGCGCCCACCTCGTCCCTGGGCACCTGACCCTGCGCCTTTCGCCTTCTCCTGGAGGAGTGAGTAGAGTTTTCACACCGACACACGGGAGAAAGTTACCCTTCCTGTGTAAGTATGACTGCATGGAGGTCTCAGTGGCGTCTGGTCCTGCTCAACTCGCTGACGTGTGGCCTAGAGATCTGCGTGGCGGCTGGGATCACCTATGTGCCCCCTCTGTTGCTGGAGGCCGGAGTGGAGGAACAGTACATGACGATGGTTTTAGGTAAGGTTTCAGTCTAACCTTGGAATGTCCAACTAGGGTTTATGATTGGTTAATGAAGGGCCGTGCTGTAAACAGCAAGTCAAGGTTGTTTCCCACTAAGGAGTCGATCCTATAATGGGGGTCATTATCATAATTACTGGCTAAATCACTTGCTGCCCCATCCAGGTGGTAATCAGGTGCTAATTGGAAGGCACCAGACTGCAGGAAGAGGCCTGGAGGCTCGAGAGGTCAGCAGCTGTGTGGAAGCTTGTATAGTTTTACTGCATCCTGTTAAAATTCTGTGGGACTTTCCTCTGGACTTTCATCAGATAATATAGTCATCATGGGCTGCCTTAGAGCCGGAAGCTTCTTTCTCAGATATAGTGGGTTTGTGCAGTTGACTCTCATGTAAATGTGCTCTTTTTACATTTCTCACCCCCTATGTTCCGTTAATTATGTTAGGAGGTTTGAAATGCATTTTCAAAATTTCACTTCATATATATATATATATATATATATATATATAAATATACACTGCCAGTTCAAGAGTTTGGGGCCAGTACTTTTTTCTAAAATTAATACTTTTATTCAGCAAGGATTCATTAAATAGATCAAAAGTGACAGTCAAGAAAATTCTTTACTTTTTATTCTTCAAAGAATCCTGAAAACATACATAATAAGCATCACAAACATTATAAGCATCACAACAGTTTTCAACAGTGATAATAATGCTAAATGTTTCTTGAGCAGCAAATCAGCATATTAGATGATCTGTGACACTGTATATGTGACACTGAAGACTGGAGTAATGATGCTGAAAATTCATCTTTGCATCACATGAATAAATTACATTTTAAAGTATATTGAAGTAAGTAAATTTGTATTACCCCTTGGTAACAAGGGTCTGAAATTAACTCGAGTAACACAATCCTTCATGCTGACCTTAGTTTGCATTGTGTAAAAAGAATGTTCCGTGGCATAGCCTTATGTTTATTATCAAAGTAATATCTAGACTCGTCCCTGTTTTTTTTTTAAAGAACAAAATTTAAATGTGAACCTCATACTTTTATTTAATCTCTTGTGTTAATTATTCAGTAAAAACAGTTTGTTTTGACTTTGTAAACTTGCCTAAATCATCATTTTTGAGCTGAGAATACATTTTTAAGTAAGTTAGCTATGCATTACCAACATAATTGCTGTGGAGTTTACTTCAAATGAACAGTAGTTTCTGGTATCATGGTATTCATATAAATCTGACCTGCTTTACATGGTCAGTGAAGTTAAATGGTTGGATTTAACTTTACTCATACAAGGTTAGTCATAATGATACACTAGTCATACAGTAGAAAATATATTCTTCTAAAGCTTTTTAACAATAATGAGTGACGAGTGACTTTTTGAGTGAGTGAGTGAGTCATTGATCCGTTTAACCGATTTGTTCAGAAACACTGATTCAGTTAGACACGAAACACAGCTACTGTTTGTATGATGAAACTGATGAAACTGATGAAACCGCATGAAACAGATGAAACTGGCAGAACAAACGAAATAACAATATTATTCCTAAAATGTATTATGTATTACCTTGTTTGTTGATTAGTTTTATGAGTCAATTTACTTTTTACCGTTAGTATTACTCCGCTTGTCTCTGTTTGCATGTTTCAGAAAGATTGTCAGTTTGTGTATTATTAATGAAGGTTTTTTTTAGTACTTGATTCTTGCTGTAGGTTACAGGTCACCAGTAGGTGGCAACAAGTGTCTTTTTCAGTTAGTCATTGAATAATTCGCTCAACCTATTTGTTCGAAAACATTTACTCATTTAGGAACAAAGCAAGTGACGTCTTTATGAGTGAATCATTAATCAACTCAACTGATTCATTTGGTTCATTTAGGAGAAAAGCACTGCTAATTTGGTTTGCTTGGAGAAAAAATGGACCTGCAACCTGCAAAATTGTAACTAAAATATAAGTGAATTAATATGAAACTTAATGTTTACTGAAATGTTGTATAAAACAGTATCACACTTAATTAAATAATGCTTAATTATGCCACAAATTATGTTGATATAGTTTAATTAATTAAAAGCGAACCATATCAGAACTATGGTGAGAGTTGGAGATGGTGAGATAATTCTATTAGCTACGACTTCTTCTCTTTTGTAATAGTTCTAGAAAAGTCATCAATAAGGATGACCTTGGGGGCTAGTTCTGGAATAGAGCTGGGGGAAGTTGTCAAGGGACGGGTGAAAAGCAGGGGGTTTGTCTAGGCATTGGGACAGCAGGGTGGAGGTCCTACAGAGATGGACTGGGATAGACCCCTGATGGGCTCCATTCAGGACTGAAGGAATGGGTGTAAAATAGTTGCATCTGCGGAGCCCCATTTTGGCATATGCTTTGTGCCAAAGTATTGTGCTTGTTTTTTCTTTGACCATCCAATAATGGACTATATGATGAGATCATTATTAGATCTTTCACAAATTCACATAATCTTGAGCCATTAATGCAAAAATGTGCACTTTTTAGTGGTGCTAGCTGTTTAGACTCTACAATTAGATAAAACATATTTTCCTTATTTATTTAAATACTTAAAATAAATCCACTATGGTGCATAATACACTGAAATAACGAATGCTAATGAAGTCTTTGTTATTTTTTTTTGGTTTGTTTTGGTCTCTTGACTATAGCCCTATTTAAAAAAAAAACCTGTTTAATGAAGCTCTAAATACAAAATGAACTTGTAGATTTGAATAATTTCCGCACAGGTTCTTATAGATTCTTCAAATGGAGATGATAAGCTTTCTATTTGCCAACGTTGAGCAGATGGCCCACATAGACGGAGCAATGTAACACCAAATATGAATTTAGCACCTGGTTGTTTTTCATCCTCCTGAAAGGTGGCGGCTGCTCTGAGTGTTCTCACACATGTCTCATAATCAGATGGCAGGGTGACAGTCAGTGCCAGAGACGCAGAGCTCGCCATCGCTCGTGGTTTAATATCTGAGCTCAGGAAGAGCTAGATGTAATCGAGAGCAACTCTGAAGCAAATCAAGTTACCTGAAGTGCATAGAGTGAAGTAAGTGATCGAATATGGTCTGTTCTTGTTGAAATCTGTTTTTAGTCATATTTTCTAGTGCGCTTTGCCTCTCATTCGTGTTCTAGCAACAATTATTGCATTTGAAAAGCAAATAGCCTCTCTCTGCATGGTCAGAATGTGGAAAGCTTGTGTTGTTGGAAGTTTCGTGTCATTTTGAGAGAAGACGTCCTTCACCTGATTGACATGTCGTGCCCAGAAGAGTTGTGGGAGGAAATGATATTCAGAGAGGGAGTGCGTTGGTGTTGTATTTCGTATGAGATGCTTTGTTTGTACATGTATGGAGAAGAACGGCGGGTTGTGGATGAAGTCATTGGTGGAGGTAAATGTTGTAGCTAGCAGATTTGATGATAGGCATGAACAGCTTGGCATAAAATAAACAGTTGCAACTAATGGTTATTTTGATAATCTGCTTATCTAATTAGATTCAGGTGATTTATGAAACAGTGAATCATCAGCTTTTAATGTACTGTTCAGTTTTTGCCTTTTTTAAGAGGCTGTGCATGTGCTAACTTAACAATAAAGACTGATGAATCAATTAAAAAAATATATACTTTTAATGAACTTAAGGACAAAAACGTCTCTTTTAGTAATAATAAAATATTATTATTATTTATAATAATAAAAATAAATAAAATATAATTATATAATATATAATAATATATGAATAAATTACATTTTAAAGTATATTGAAGTAAGTAAATTTGTATTAAATTATAATGTTTCACAATGCTATATTTTGACTCAAGTAAATGCAGCCTTGGTGAGCATAAGAATTGTTTCAAAAACATTAAAAAAATATAACAGTAGTCTACACAATAGATTAATTAAAAAAATATAATTATTATATATAAAATGAATTTAAATATTAGTAATAAATACATTAGTGGTTTATGTATGCCACAGTCTCAAACCATTTAAAGTGTGCAGTTTCAAAGAGAATTATTCGCTTTTGTCTACAAGAGACAAATGTCCAGCGACGTGCATGATTGTTTTTATTCTTTTCATCCTAGAATAACCAGCCCTATGACTTTAAATATTTAGCCTCTGTGTTTGAGTTTTTTTTCCAGCATGCCATATGAACAGATACATTATTTTCTGCCCACAAATGGCTTCCACATGGCTTTTGCTGTAAATGAATCTCTCTCCAAGACTATTTGCCTTGCAACCAAAACAGAAAAAAAGCAGTTCACAAACGTGCATGTGGCCACTTTGCACCAGACGGACAGAAGATGCGTGGTGTGTTAATACATACTACACACCGCTGTCTTTGTCAACAGCTGCAGTGGAAAGCAAAGAAAGATCCTTTGTGCTCATTTCCATTCACAAGCTATATAACCTCATAATGTCGTTGCCATTAGAAGTGCTTTCAAAAGGTTTTGTGTGTGGTTATACGTGATTCCAGAGGTTTTGTTGGACTGTTTCTTAATGGAGTGGGGTTTGGAGGCATTTTATTCATTTTAATGTTATGGTGACCTGAGAAATACATGGGCTTTTTGGACCAGATTGATGCTCATGTGATGAGTTGTTTGTGATCTCTTCTCGAACTAACAGTGCATTGTAGGTATACGTTTTTTTCCCTGGAACTTAAACCCATGACCTTGGTTTTGTTAAAGCCATGCTTTTCCATTGGAGCTACAGAAACAATTAGGATGACTATAATGAATTGCACTGTGTAGTATATAAAAGAATCATATGATTAATTGTCTCGAACTGTTGCAGACAGTACAAAGGCACCTTTAAAAGGAAGTGGGCAGAAGCCCACTCTCCCTCCACTTTGGGAAAAAAACAGCTTGTGTTGACTTACAGGCGCAGTTGACCGACATTGTTAAATAAATCTTTTTATGGTAGGCAGTTCCATGGTTCTCTACAGTACTTACATTACACATGGTTTCTCAATACCTGCTCTGTGCCTTTCATGCGGTTGCCTTAAAATTGTTTTAGGTGTGATATTCCACACATGCTTCCATTTCCCGGTTTACAGCTCTTGCGGAAATGTGTTTTTGTAGCATGTGAGAGTTTGCAAACATTGCCATGATGCCAAAACCCCCCAGCATAAATTAGGCTCAAAAACACTATATACTCTACTGTTCAAAAGTGTGGGGCCTGTAAGAAGTTTTTTAAGAAATTAATACTTTTATTCAGCAAGGACAAAATAAAATTAATTAAAAGTGACAGGTAAGACATTTATAATGCTACAAAAGATTTCTATTTCAAATAAATGCTGTATTTTTGAGCTTTCTATTCTTAGAAGAATCCTGAAAAAATGCATCATGGTTTCCACAAAAACATTAAGCAACTGTTTACAGCATGGCTAATAAACATTTCAAGAAACATTTCTTCAGCAGCAAATCAGCATATTTGAATTATTTCTGAAGGATCATGTGATATTGAATAGTGGAGTAATGATTAACTAATTAATGTTTTTATATTCTTTTTCCATTAAACCTATTAAGATTTGTACCATGTGCACTGAGTAAACTGACTCCAGTGAACTTTTAATTGCATTTTGAGCATGTTCAGGTTTCCACCACGCACTTGAATAAAAATAGCTGCTGAAGATCTAGACTTGAATCGAAATGGGAATCAGTGCCCAACCAGTGCACTGAGTCATCTGCTTTAATTAGAAAAGCTGTGGGGACGAGGGAGCAGAGCCAGAGACTGGTCACCTTAAACTACAGGCAGCATTACAGCAGGCTGAAGACGAAGCCAAAAGATAGATGCCATGGCTGTGATTCTTTGACATGTTGTCTCCAATGCCAAAAAAATAATAATTCTTGTTTAATATTCATATACTTTTTCGTTAGGTATTGGACCTGTCCTGGGACTTGTCTTCATCCCCCTAATTGGCTCAGCCAGCGATCACTGCAACAGTAGCTACGGCCGACGGCGACCCTTCATATGGCTGCTGTCGTTGGGAGTTCTCCTTGCCCTTTTTATCATACCACATGCTGACGTGTTGGCCGCCAACCTGAGCTGGGGCAGCACCCGCCGCAACCAGGCTCTCCAGGTGGGCCTGCTCATCCTAGGCGTGGGCCTATTGGACTTCTGCGGACAGGTGTGCTTTACGCCACTGGAGGCGTTACTCTCGGACCTCTACCGTGAACGTGATGACTGTGGACAGGCTTTCGCTATGTTCTCCTTCATGGTAAGCCTTGGAGGTTGCGTAGGCTATTTGCTACCCGCCCTTGACTGGAGCGGAGGGCTCCTTTCCTTCTACCTGGGTGGTCAGGCTGAGTGCTTGTTCTCCCTCCTCATCCTCATCTTCATGGTCAGCATGTTAGTGACCATGAAAGTGTCTGAGGAGCCCTCGTCCACCCTGGAACCGGGGCCGTCGGAGCCCGGACAGTGTTTTCCACGCTCGTGCTGCTATCTGTTTCAGTGTAAGCTGCGGGCTCTGAAGTCCGGCCCGCTCATGTGCCTGCTGAGGACTTGCTGGTCCATGACACCGGCCATTTATCGCAGCTACTGCCACGTGCCGCATGTCATGCGACAACTGTGTTTGGCGCAGCTCTGCAGCTGGATGGGTGTCATGTCCTTCATGCTGTTCTACACAGATTTTGTCGGCGAGGGATTGTACGAAGGAGTTCCCAGCGCCGCTCCGGGTACCGTTCTCAGGCAGCGCTATGATGAAGGTTAGTAAGTAAAATCAAAATCGACCCTATTTATTTTTTAAAGCACATTTGTGGTCTTTATGTTGAATGATTCATCTTTGTCTACTATAGGTTATTGTTCTGTTTAAACTAGTAATTGATTTGTAAACTCATATTTGGCCTTGTATAGGGCTGCTCAATTTAGGGAAAATCTGATAAAAAAATAATGTGATTACTGCATTTACCAGAAAGTAGATTGGGTAAAAACTACATTGTTGAGAGAAAAAAAAAACGAATTTAAGTTGCATCGGTGTACAAGTCACATTTTATTATTATATTAGAAAATATTGTAAAATACTGATAAATAAATAAAAAAATTCTTTAAATTTAACGGTATTCAGAACAGGGATAAAAATTATATGTATAAAATAACAATAAATTATAGTGACATTGATTACAAACATCAATTATAAACGGCAAGCCTAAAAATGTATTTAAAGCAAAATGAGAGGTAGAGTGTACCTCTCTAATTCAACACAAATCTTAATGTATGCACTTTTCTTAAGTTTTGTGTGCATGATTTTAATTGCATTATATAAGTTGCAGCACATTTTAGATGATAAAAAATGTGGCATTCCACAAAATGTGGTATATATCAATATGAATTTATCAACCATAAAATTTAGAGCCCGACCGATATATCGTTTTGCCGATATTATCGGCCTATATAAGCCTGTCACAGATATATCGGTATCGGCGAATATGCTGCCGATATGAATTTTTTTTTACAGAACATATAACGCAGATTAAATGCTTATGAATGGTGTAATTACTTAGTTTGTCCAGCAGAGACATTGTTTGCTACTGGCGACCCAGGTCACTGTAGTGTAGAGATGCGCGGATGAGATCAAACTTCACCCGAGTCCGCTGCTTCAAATTATCCGCCCACCACCCACCCGCACCTAAATTCATTTTTAACAGCAGATTCAGTGACGTTAGAGACTAGAGCTGATCTGCTGGAGGGTTCATTTTTAACAGCAGATTCAGTGATGTTAGAAACTAGAGCTGATCTGCGCATCACGGCACACGGGTCTGCGGCGCATTAAAGCCTGTGTTATGGCCACCGGAGCTGATCGCGGCCACACAGTCAATGCTGGTGTTTATACCGGCCGCGCCGTGGCCCAGAACTCATGCTTATCACATCGGTCACATAGCGCTATTGTATTTTGTCGCGCCGCGCCGCTCGCATCCGGTGTAGAATAGAACCCATTATAATCAGTGATGTTGTCTATACTGGATGCAGTAAACTGATGCCTTGTTCTATTTATGACGTACTGACACAAAGTAACCTAGTTGGAGAGACTCAGTGCCAAGTAAATAAACAACAATTTCCCCGTCTTTTACTCTCACAGAGAGCTTATCATATTCGTTTGCTACATTAGTAGGGCCCTATGATTTCCGCGATGCAGAAAACATGGGCCCTGTCCCAAATTGAACACTTCATGTGCACTTGTGGTCTTACAGACTTATGTCCGTTAAGTCCACCGTTAAGTGCTGACTCAGAGGAAGACCGCGAGGGTTTAGGGTGCCATTTGGGACAGGGCCCAACAAAGAATTTGTGAAAAAAAAATATTATTCATTATATTATTATTTATTCATTTTATATGTTTACATTTGGAAAAGATGTGCTTCCTGCATAAACCCGCCCCTGTTGGCTTGGCAGTAGCTTGCTTGCCTTACACAGTTACCTCGTTTCATTTCTTAATTCAAGTTATATATATTTTGTTCTATTTGTGTTATTTAAGTTATTTATAATAAGTGAAGTGAAGTTTACTGTTAAGTGCACTGATGTCAGACTCATTTTGAATAATAAAGTTTATTGTTAAATTGTTAAATACCCTGCCTCCACTATATAGGCCTATGTTTGTCACATCATTATAAGTGTTTGATCAACACATTTGAGTTATCATTGCAAAAACTGTGTTTATGTGTATATATTCTGTTTATGTAGGCTATACACTGTATTCTATATACAGTACCAGTCAAAAGTTTGGACACACGAATGGGAAGTGTGTCCAAACTTTTGACTATACTGTACTATAATATAGCCTACCCATAAAGAATATCGTCCAATATATCGATATCAGTCTTTTTTTTACTCCCTAATATCGGTATCGGCATCGGCCCCCAAAAAACCCATATCGGTCGGGCTCTAATAAAATTACAATACCAATATTTATGGATGTCTCAATTTTCAAACATGAAACCATCTAACTTTTATTTTGGTGAAACACCTTACAACTTCATGGTTGACACGTTGCGTTTCCAAATGCACAATATAAATGACAAAACTGCAGAAATAAGTTTATGTGGAGCCGCTCTGAGATACTAAAAAAACCTGGGCCCATATTCACAAAACATTTTATTTTACCACTAAGAGTTCTCCTAAATAGCAGTAAAAGTTTTTAGCTAAGAGTTTTCTCTTAAAACCTATTCACAAAGCTGCTGAGACAAACTTTTACTATGTCTTAAGCTAAGAGTAAGGGCGGGGTTGACCTCGTTGCTATGGATGATGTCAGCATGATTACTAACTATGCACACAGTGATTGGCTGTTAGGGGCAAGCTCTGTCAGAAATTTATACATGGAAATATTGTAGAGCACAATTTTATGTTGTCATATTCAAATAAAGGTTTAATAATAAAAATGGTAATTGCCACATTCAAATAAAGATTTTAAAATGCAGGCTAAGAGTCACTAATTAAACAAGTATATGTTCAGCTAATTGTCAGCCTCTTACATGTATGCTTCTTGTAAACAATTAGTGAATATGCGTATAAACAACCTTTTAATTAACAGAGTGGAATAATCATGGCTGATAGTAAGACATGCAAACGTAAAAGAAAACCAAACTGGACTCAAGAAGAGCTGTTACTTCTTGCCCAACTGGTTAATGAAAACAAGGATATAGGCTAATCAAAGGAAAATTGTCCCCGACAAGTTCTACAACAGTCGTAATACCCCCGTGATTAAGGCGATATACCTTTTTAAAAGCTCATTATCATCAAATGTTTCTAAAAATGTTTACGTTCCGAGGCAGATTGCCAGCAACAGCCATTTTAGTATAGTTGTGATTTGATCTTAGTGACTTGGGAGTCCTCTTCACTACTCCTAACGTTTCACAGATTTAGGAGCTAGATTTAGCGCTAAAACACTTTGTGAAATACTATTAAAACAAAAATTTAGGAGTCCTAAATTTATTTTTTATATTTTCTCCTAAATCGGCGAGTTATGAGCTACTTTTAGCCTTAAGATGTTTTGTGAATACAAGCCCTGATCATGAGCTGCTTGCGTGTAAACGAACACAGTGCTGCATTACACTCTGTCTACTTTTCACAATCTAATTATTTTTCTAATTTGTTCGGATTGAATATCATTTAGAAATACACGATACAGAAATAAATCGGTTGCGAACAGCAGTTCATGCAAATTTATTATAGAGATGAAAATTAATGTCCTTCCAAACATGACTTTTGTGGAAAACAAAAAAGATGTTTTGAAGAATGTTTCAGCTTTTTTGTCCATACGATAAAAGTCAATGGGGAGCAGTTGCAGCTAGGTGTTGAGTAAGTTTCTTACTTTTCCGCTGAACTGAACAATCTGAATCCAGAACTGTTTTGTCATAATGTTGCATTTCAAGCAGGTCATGCAATGTTTGATTTCCCAAGAGATTAATGATTAATGACATTATTTATTTCCGAGTCACTCTCCGACTCATGCGTCATGCATTCCCACTCAGAGGCGTTCCTGTTAATGTTTTGTTAATGTTAAGGGACATTTTGTTGGTTAATGTTTGCACATAGATTCTCAGTTTTGTCTGGAGGCTCTAATTAGACAGCAATAATGAAAAGAAAGGATATCAGTGTTTGTTTCATGGAGTTAAGCATAATAAAGAACATTACCTTCACCTTATTTCACTGTCTGGGGTCAAAAGGCAGTTTTTCTAAAGGAATATGTATTTTTTTTCACTGTCCGTAAACTTGCTTTCCTGCTGTTGGTGGTCTGTCATTTCCGTCCTCTGGCCATATCGTCTGTCTCTACACTGTGAACTTGTATTCACCTCCACATGTGGCCTCTGTCAGCCTGGTGCTTGAGCTTCCAGCAATGTTCATAAAAACAAATGCATGTCTTTAGCTAGTCAACAACTAGCTTACAAAATCTATGCCATGTTAAGCTAGCATCTGGACCTCTCCCACTGAGCTTTGACACCAGCAGAAAGCTCCTTTAGCAAAACATTTTGACAGATGTGGTCAAGATCAGTGTGCAAACAAATTAAATCTGTCAGTGTAGTCGACCGCAAACTGTGCCCCATGTAACAAAAAATGCTGGAGATAGTTGTTCAGTACAGTGAACATCTCAGCCCTCTCCAGTTGTGTTGAAATTATGAATTCCTTCTGTGAGGAAAGTTCCTGGCCTGTTTGAAGAACAACGCCAAAGCCTGCAAACACATGCCTTAGTAAACATCACTCGTAGGATTTATTCAAAGGAAACATTCTCCATTATGCTCAAATGGGCAAAGCAGACCGTTTGAAATGACCTCATCTGTCAAAATCACAAAGGCTGGGGATTGTTGTTTACTTGGACATGCAGTTGTTGAAAAGAACGGTGTGCCCACCGGTGTCCTTTGAATTATCTTGTGATAATTACCAGTTTACTGTACATTATCACTGTATGGAGTCAGTAAGGTTTTTGAAAGAAGTCTCTTATGCTCAGGCTGCATTTATTTGATCATAAATAGAGTAAAATAGCAATATTGTGAAATTTTAATACAGTTTAGAATACTGTTTTCTATTGTGATATATTTCAACATGTAATTTATTCCTGTGATGCAAAGCATCATTACTACAGTCTTCAGTGACGCATGTTCTTTCAGAACATTTTGCTATTTTGCTGCTCTAGACACATTTCTTATTATTATGAATGTTGAAAACAGTTGTGCTGTTTGATATTTTTGTGAAAACCTTGATTTTTTTCCCAGAATTCTTTAATGATTAGTAAGTTAGTCTTTCACTTTTGACAACTTAATTAATTCTTGCTAAATAAAAGTATACATTTCTTTTAGAAAAAAACGTACTGACCCCTAACATTTGAACGACAGCATACATACATACATATAATTATCTAATTTAAGGCATGTGAACAACAGTGAAATATCATTAAGTACCATTATATAAAAATATTTGATTGTGCAATGCTGAGATTCACTTGAATCAATACTTAAATGATTACGAATCAAAATCAATCTATTCATATCTATAATTATCTAATCAGAACCAACCAGTTTCTCATGTGAAATTCTCTAACATCACCCCTGCAGGTATCCGTATGGGCAGCCTGGGCCTGTTCCTGCAGTGTGCTACCTCAACCTTCTTCTCGCTGGTCATGAGCAGACTAGTGTGTCTCTTTGGGTCCAGGACGGTCTATCTGAGCAGCATGGTGTGCTTCACCATCTCCGCTCTGGTCATCTGCTTGTCTAAGAGCGTTCTGTTGGTCACAGCTATGTCTGCCCTAACTGGCTTTGCCTATGCCACACTGCAGACACTGCCTTACACGCTTACCTGCCACTACCACAAAGAAAAAGAGGTAGGCATTTCATACTTACATATATTTTCTGTCTTTTCTTGTATAGAAAATTGCATCATGTATATAGACTCAAAATTGTTTCACAATCCTTTTTTTTTTTCTTCACTATTTTTAAAAAAGGAAACATTGTTAAAATATATCACAAAAGCTGAGTTTGAACTGGCAGAAACCAAATAAGCACCATATGTCAGTTAGAATCTGGCTTGCAACATTTCCTGATAGAAAAAACCTTATCCTTTATAAAAATAGTAAAAATATTTAGCAAAACTTTGTGAGCCTATATACATAGGTTTTCAGTGTGAAAACAATATATACACACTAGTCAGCATTTAAAGTGGATCAAAACCTTTCATCAAAGTTGTCCTAAAACCAAAATGTGTTTTTGTCTTAGGACAACTTTGATTAACTTTTTTGATCCACTTCAAATGTTGACTACTGTATATAACATTTACCTTATCATTTACTGTCATGCCTTTATGGTATCTATAAATAACATGGCAAAAATAATAAAAACTAGATATATTTGTTCCAAATGTCTCACTTGTTTCTCATCACTAATGTTCTTCAGGTGTACATGCAAAACAGCAAAACCAAAAAAACGCACTCAAATGGATGCACCATCACAAGGGATTCTGTTTGTCTGATACTAGACAACGGCCCTGGAGATCTCAACCACAAGAGTGGCATTTCCAATGGGCATGTTCCTTACAGTAGAGATGAACCAGACAATTACCCATCTCTCCATCAGAACGGTGCCCCCCTTGGTCTGGAGTCAGAGGATTTTGAGAAACGTGGGGTGGGACTAGACTTTGCCATTCTGGACAGCACCTTCCTTCTCTCTCAGGTCTTCCCTACCCTCTTCATGGGCATGATCGTCCAGTTCACAGAGTCCGTCACCGCGTACATCGCCTCCTCTGCCATCTTTGGTGCCATTGGCATCTATTTCGCCACCCACATCATCTTTGACCAAAGGGCCCCCGGAAGCTGAAAGAAGCAGTAATCATGTGAGTCATTTCACAGTTGACCTTTTACTAAGTGTCATGTTAAATGTTACTGACTAATCTACGGAAAGTGATGGGGAAAAAAATGAGATGGGAGGAAAAATTATATTTCAATGCTTTTGTGTTCTCTCACAAAAGTATTGCGTTCTACTGAGAAAATTTGCATTTGCTCACAAAACTTTTGTGATGGAAATAATAGGAAGACGGTGGAAAATGCAAATGTTTTGCTTGCAAACAAAGCATTTCTCAGGGGACCGCAATACTTTTGCGAAAGAATGCAAAGTTTTTTTAGGGGAGTGCAATACTTTACAAGAGAACACAAATGTTTTGCGAGAGAATACAAAATTTCAGGGGAACATAATCCTTTTGCAAGAGAACGCAATATTTTTCTCCCAAATCGTGTATATATATACTGTATATATTAGTGCTGTCAAACGATTAATCGCAATTAATTGCATCCAAAATAAAAGTTTTTGTTTACATAATATATGTTTGTGTACTGTGTAGATTTATTATGTATATATAAAGACACAAACATACAGCATATATTTTGCATGTATTTACTTGTATATATTTGTATTCATATAAATTATATATAAATATATTTAATATATAAATGTAACACATTTTTCTTAAATATATACAGGCATGTGTGTGTATTTATATATAT